TCTTTTTTTAGTTATAAAAAAGTATCAAAATCAAGCAGATCATCTGTCTTGTATTCAGCGAGTTCGGGTGCGTCTTGTAAGCCGAGTCCTATCGGGTAACACGCCGAGAAGCAGACTGGAGATGGCGGGCCGGGATGGGGGGGGGGATGGGGGCACAGTCTCGAGGATGTCAGCCGTCAAGGGGAGAAGGAAGTATCCCCGCGAGGTATCCCCGTCGCTGCGTGGCTGGTTGGAACTGCTGCGACTGCTTCCTCGCGCTTTTGGTCGCTAAGAGGTTGCAACGAACTGCCGAACCGTCCCGATGTTCGCGGTTACGGTGTCGTGGAACGCGGTGATGAAGTCACGCTTTCGTGACTTTGCTCGTTGACATGCAGCTGAGGAGCATGACTGCATGGGTTGTGTGACGTTTTGAACGTATTTGCTCAACCGATTCCCGAATGAATCATTCGTGAAGATTCGTGTGGTGCTCGGGAATCATTATCTTTTGATATGAAAGAAAATGAAATCCAGTTCAACTCCAGCTCTTAAAGTGCTGCCTCTTCTTCCACGAATGATGTGCTTACCTATAAGAAAGAAAGGCAAGGATTCTTTCCCGTTTCGTCCAGAATGGCCCAGGAGTACTTATTTGTACCTCCTTCGGAAATAGCTTTTTCTTGGGGGAATGCTTAAGAAATGAATATTCCGCTATCTGATTAAATAAATAATTATTATTTTAAAAATAGCATCTCGAATACTCCATCTTTTTATATTTATCTAACCGAAGTAACTGAACTGTGGTCTTTCGATCTCTATTACAGAGCTTCCGGAGTATTAGTATAGACAAAAAGTTATCTCTGCCACGAGAGGTGTCCGTCAGGTGCAACAGAGTGAATCGGGTCGAGGGGGGGGGGGGGGAATGGCCAGGTGGCTCTGCGCGTCACTCCAACGGCACAGGGGATATCAGGGGAGAGAGGGAGGAGGGGATCCGTCAGTCGCATGTCTGCATCCAGCCGGGTCAGTGTCGTCTCCCGCCCTCGCTTCGTCCGGTCCCAGCTGGCGCCATGTATAGCATGGTGGGGTCCCACTCCCAGGGTGAGAAGCACGGGAACGGTGAAAGGACGCGAAAGCCCGTGAAAGCTGCTGCCCCTGTCAAAAAGCCTCGATCGCTCTATCGGAGACTTCTGGCGTTTCTCAAGGAAACCTGGAGCGGAGTGAAGTTCAAACAAGGTGAGGACCACGCGGGTATTTCTTGCACGTAAATTTTGCTCGATTCGGCAAGGATGTCGTCGATTCGACCGCGCCAAAACGGATGGAAAAAAAAACCTTGCACAATCGTTAAGGGTCTGTTCGGAAGAGAACACCGTAAACGATCGTTTATTTTCCAGGCGATTAGCTCCGCTGAAAGCAGCTGTCAACGCTCTGGTTCTTCTCCTGGCTGCTGACTACGTGCTTGGATTGTTATTATGTAACAATCCAAGCAAGGCCTATTTGTCGTCACACTTCCTTTGCATAATAGGGCGCGAGTGACCGCCCGAGCCCGAAGCCGAACAGCGACTTGTGTCTGGAACATTTCAGTGCCTTCTTTTCGAACGGCGATACTGTCGCATTGGTTAAAATTCGTCGAGGTTCGTAGTTCAGCGACCTTGCTTCAACGTCTTGAATGCCGGAATTCCAGTCATGAGAAGTCCCTTAGATATGCCGATATGACTGCCAGAAAGGATGAAAAAAAGTCATGCCAGGTTATCGAGCACAATAGTTCCCTCATCGTGACGTTTCCACCTGCTCGAGCGAGCATATCTGCCCGGCACGCAATCGACCGATCCCCTAACTGCATGCGCGACTCCGGGCGCGTCACGGACGTCTTTGCGGAACGTGGCTGCTGGCTGCTGAAGGTGACGGCCGTTGCCTTCAGCAGCTGAAGGTGACGGCGTCTCCTTCAGCTCGGCGGCACCGGCCGTGGGCGTACCGTGGTCGGTCGCGGGTTCTCTCTCGTCCACTGGGTTAAATGTGCATGCGTAGTGATGCTTGTTTCAACCGAGTCGCGTATTGCTCTTTTCAGATTTTCTGCCATGAATTTTGATAGTAACGAACAGTCATCCACTCACCCGATTTCGACCGGAGGAAGCGAGATCGGAAGTCGTTCCAGTGTCTCGCCCAGGGAGCAAATAGGCGAGGCGCTTTCTTTCGAGTTTATAGCATGGTTTGTGCTCATGCTTAGGACTATGCAGCCGGGTGACCTTTGCAGCATGCATATTTGTCAAGTGACGAAAAGAGCATTTCTGCCGGCACTACCAGAGACAGAGACTTTTCAGTCGACAATTCGTGCCCGATAATTCCGTGCACCCGAAAGTTTTAGCCCATTTCTCTGCCAATAATTCTTGCATTTGGCAACGAGTGAAATCGCTCAGACCGTTCCTGCAAATCTGGCCGCCTCAAGTCACAATGCGAGGGTTCTGAATTTCAGTTCGCCGATTGATGTCAATATCCTGGAATAACTGAATTTCGAGGCCTTCCTTTCGATTAAACCTCCAAAAATTCCGTTTTTCTACTTGAACTCACCGCACCGATGATTTTAAAGTTTTGTTAGCCCTTTCGCTTCCCAATCGATCTGAAAACTTTTAAATTTTCTTGCGCGTATTTTTTTTTACCCGTAATTTAATTCGTGAGGCACTTTTCTGAAGCTTGGGATTCACCCAGACATTGTGTCCTCAATGGTAACCATGGAAACCCATTAATAGTATAATAACAGCTAATAGGTATAAAAATGTGAAATTGGGGGTTGATCTGCATGCATATTGGATGAGATTACGAAAGTTTTTATGGGGGCAAAAAGAACCTATAAGGACGGGCAGAATATAATTCACCATTGAAGGGGGTTGATGAAAATTGGAGGGCTTACAAATATGGTAAACTTGTCTCACATTTGATCACGGCAGAATTGAATTTCCTTTCGGAAACCGACGGGCGTCGTGCGAAGCAGAATTTCCGGTAAAGTTTTTAAAAATATTTTTTACCAATAAGTAATACTATACGAAAAGGGCACTTTCTCGCAGCAAAAAAAAAAAAAGCTTTCGTATAGTATCGGGTTTTCTGTCTCAAGGTAGAAAATTCGGAGTGCATTCCATTCCGGCGTGTCTCGGTTCGATCCCGACGGCGAATCCTTCTGACGGCCCCGTCTCGTGGGCGCTGGCTTCAAAAGTCCTCGAGAAATTCGAGGCGGGGATCGGGCGGGAGTCTCTCGTGGGATTCGTCGGAGGAACCAGTCCTCTCTTGGCGAAATGCATCGATGGCAAAACTCTGTCGACTGTCTGCTTTTAAAGTATCTGTGTCTGTCAACTCGGCTCATCAAACTCAATCCTTGGGCGAAATAGAGGAAAATGGAGCCTGACGTCTAACTTAGAACATTTTTCCCTCGAAAGGGAGATTTGGCCAACCTCTATTTTATGTCAGGGATGCCACTCTCCTGTCTTCTTGTCCGATGCAATGTCATGGCTCGCAGATGAAAAATTCACAGGAATCACGTTTATCCTGAGGAAGAAGCTTTGGCACGTGCATTATTTACACGATTCTGCCTCGTGTCCCATGCCTTAAAACTTTTAGTTTTCCTCCTTCTTCCAGGATTCGTTCACAGTCGAGGGTAATTAAGAAGTAACGTGATCTACCATGCGAGTAGTGCATGAGTATAAATAGGAACAAGTTTCCCTTGCGTCATATATCCATGTTCATATAATATTCTGCAGGTACATCGATTCGCATGTCTGATGGGAAAGGGGGAGCTGTTTTATTCAATCATTAGAGGAACGGGACTCCTCTCGGGACTCCTGGAACAAGCGGAAGCTTGTTCCAGGAGAGTCTCCGGAGGGAATTCTAAACACGATGTTGGCGGATAAATTATCATGCAACCGTGGGTTGAAGGAAGGCGAGAATCCAGCAGTCTGTGAGCTCGTAATGTACTAACCGGAGGTTCGCGCTGGCTCGGTTCATCAGACACTAATGAGCTCGATATGACATCCGCATGCGAGCCTGAAAGAGATTCATTAGATCTCTCCAGCCCTGTCTTCTTTCCTCCGCCTCCAGTCTCCGGCTCATCTGCGCTCCTCCAGCGCTCCTCCTTTTTTCTTTTCTTTTGATCGAACGTGTCTTCATATCTCTTCGTATGGTGAGGATGCTTCTTTTGAAGAGGCAGGACGGAGGCTTTCCACATTCTCGATAATAATGCATAGCATGTTATGATTGCATGATGGCGTGCTGCCTCTTGCTTTCGTAACGATGACCCTAGAAGGTTCCTCTAATGACAACGGGTCGTCATAGCATCCTTGACATAATGGAAAGACGCCCATAAAATCTCTAGCCGATATTGGCTGGGGCCCTTTTTTTTCGCGTGAGGACAGGTTCTTTTGCATGCTCCCCGGTCATGACCCGAAGTTCGAGAGCAGGTCGTTCGGGGGGGGGGGCAATAACTGGGGATGCTCCGGGGAAGCTTTCATATTCCTCAGGGGGCCCCTACAGTCCTCACTGTATATAATGAGGCACACAAAAAAATCACATAACGTGAACAAAACACGAGGACGACAGCTCATCCTTTCTTTCGTTTTCTGATCAATACCTCATCCTGGTTGTCCTGGAACAGATTTTTAGCACGTATTTTCTCCAACCCCTTCAGATCCCGAACTGGAAGATTTGGAGATGTCCCCTCGATATCGGCCCGGAAGTCTTTCCACCATCTGCCTCAAGACTCAGTTCACCACGTCCGAAATCAAGCGCCTTTACCGGTCAGTTCTTTAGCATGATGCGGACAGATGACAGAGAAGCAGTCTGGATTCTCGTCATTTTTATCCATGAGCATTTCATTTAATGGAAGGGGCAAGCATTCAGAACCCATAACCGTGAAATGAACTCCTCGGAAGCAGAAAACGGCTGTTTGACCAGGTAACTTCATTCGTCGAGGAGGATATAAATAGACTGTTGAGATTATTATCATGTAGCCTCGATTACAGGGCAGGCAGGCAGGCCCGCACGATATGCTGTAATAAATGATTCAATATGTAAATAGCTGTCAGTTCAAAGGAAACCGAGGGCCTCGAAGGTAAGTATTACATACAGGACCCATTTGTTCTCTCCCTCCGTACTTGCGTCCTTCCCACGCGACTGGATGGGACTTTCCCGTACACCTTTTTTTTTATTTATTAGCGTTCCTTTACTCATGACCTTCTGGTCCTTCTCTGCAGAGGCTTCAAGGCAGAATGTCCTTCAGGCGTGGCAAGGGAGGACACCTTCCGACAAGTCTATGCTCAGTTCTTCCCTCCCGAAGGTCTGTGTCTCCTATGAATATTCCTTCTAAGGTGAATTGTTTCCTCAATCTTCGCGGGAAAAGTTTGCATGCTCCGCGTGACGCGTGATGTTTTTCGGGCTCGGTAACTTAAAATGCCTTGCAAGTTGTGTTCATCATTATGCATTCCATCATTCTTGATGCTGTGGTCCCGTAAATGACTTGAGGTTGGAAAAGCCAGCGAGGCCATGGCTCACATCTTGTGTTTTTGCTTTATTTTCAGCGAATCCGAAGCCTTTTGCTCGACTCCTTTTCCATGCGATCGACACGTCTCAAGCTGGGCACATCACCTTCGAGGTTCGTCTCCCATCTTCATTTCGTGACTATTCGAAAGGAATAGGATCCGATACTCATTAAGAGGGTCTCGAGGGTGTCCTATTACGTGCCGAGGGATATTCCCCCAGGAAATCAGGGTGCGTTGAACCTGATAGAGAGAACTGAAATCAACGAAAAAGGGATTGATTTAATCGAACTCCCATTCGTAGCTGGAAAGCGCATGGAGCAGAGTTAGATTACCCTAGCAATCATTCGTCTCTGTTGATTGTTATCTGTGACAGTCCTTGGAGGACGCGAGTTCACGCTGGGGGGAGATGGATAATAGGTGTAAGTGGACAAATGGTGCTCCAGTCAATTGGCAGCAGCCTGTTCTTTTTTAAAGTGTGCTTCAGGCCCCAAAGGAAATGCGTACTGTATACGTCAGGAAGGGACAAGTAGTCAGGAGAGGGCAACTAATCAAGATCTGGGACCTTCGTGCTCTCCTATCTTCTTCGTCTAATCAAATCAAGGCCAGAAGAGGAAGACAGAAATTTATCCAATCTCTCATTAGAAACGAGGATACTGTCTCTTCTACGTTTTGCTTGCAGTAAGGATGGGGCGCCAAGAACAAGATCAATGTCCGTTAACGCACTGTTTCTTCTGTGACAAATACCTCCCAGAGACTCCCTGAGATAACCCGGGAGAAAGAGGGGGACAAGAGGAAGCGTTTGCGCTGCTATGCTTAATCCCTCTCTTTGTCTCGTTCGACAGGATTTTGCCCTGACGATGTCGACATTGTGCCGAGGGGAGACATCGGAGAAGCTCCGCTGGGCCTTCTCCATCTACGACCAGGACCGAGACGGACGGATCTCCAAGCTGGAGTTCCTCAACGTCGTCCTCGCCGTCTATGCTCTCCTTGGCCCCCGCGTGGACCCTCCAGTGGATGACTGGAGCATCGTCGATAAGGCCGAGCACGCTTTCCGGGTGAGGATTCCAGACTTCCACATTTCCTTCCTCTTCCGATAGAAGCTTTTCAAAGGCTCCTTTTTCTTATATTTTTTCTTATAGCGTGTTGTTTGTGTTGTCATCCTTCATTTCCGTTTGTCCTCTCAGCATCGATCGCTTGATATTTGTTCACGGGCTCGTGGAAAATAGCGAAACACTTGAGTTTGCCGGGCAAATGACAATTTTGAGGCGACGTCTCGAATATTTCCAAGGACAAGCACTTCAGTATGCCTTTCAATTCGGAAAAAAAATGTTTACATGAAAAAGGGCGAGGCCCGAAAAGCCAAGAAGAACGAACATTTTTCGAAGGATGTAATCCTTCAATAATGCGAGCAATAATGATAACAGCAATAATGCGAACTTGGAAAGTCATCTGAAGGAAAAATCTCATCTCCCCATCCCAGCACGCGTTTCATGAGGGCCTTGGCACACAAGGGGGGAAGAGCATGCATCTGGTGCGACGCAGGGTCTTATTGTTTCCGATTGTTCTTGGGGATGGGGAGAAACCGCTGGGGGAAGAGAGATGAAAATCAGTCTTCGTATGTCGTTGGCTCAATTAGAAATGGCCCCAAAGAGGTGGAATTATCTGCTTCGGAGATAGTATATAAAGATGACATATCCAATTATGGAAACTGAGCAATTATAATAAGAATAATAAGCAAACTGACAATTTTTAAAAGAACATATCTCCCTTGAACAGAACAACGACGAACTACGAAACTTCCTGATGATTCGCACCATGAGGTAGTCTAATATACCTGGTGTTCGTTAATTTAGGTTGCACTTTCATTGCTCAAATGAAGCAACATAGAAGTCAGTGTAAGATGCCATTCTAAGATAAAAAAGTTTCGTTTAATACTAGCGATGCAAGTAAATAGAATAATTTATCTGAAAAAATGCGCGGCGTTCGCACCTTCAAAAATTGGGAAACTCCATGGATTTTAAGCATTTTTCAATGGGACGCCATGTTACTTCCGCTTATGTGACGTCGCTGCCAACTTGAAGTTAGCATTAAATAATGATCAATTTCCCCTCAAAGAACTCAGGAATGATTTCTAAATTTTTTAAAATCAATTTAAATGAATTTCAGAAAGTTTTCATTCTCGCGTCACGTGACTTCCGGCGTGACAATTCGTAAAATACAACCTAATGCACCTTCAAACACCAAAATAGTCCCACCAGGGACTACGTCAGGTGGAGAAACTGAGGGCAATGCCCAATTCCAAATAAAATGTTACAACCAAAAAGTATTTATTGGGGGAGCTGGGTGTAGTAGGAGATTCTTCGCTTCCGCTCCAACAATCCCCAATGGAAATTTCCCTCTATCCCGTACCTTTCACAACACAACTGCAAGAACCGTTTTGATAAATCGAAAAAATTTTTGAGGTAACCTCTCTTCCCCAAAAAAGGGCCTTAAAGGTGCCGTAACCCAAAGGTAGGATTTTTTTTTCTGAAATCATCATTCCACGTGCTAGCAGAATCAAGTGGTTACACCACTTGATTCTGCTAGCACTCCATTCACATTGCATTCCATTGCAAACTCCATCACGAGAAGTACAAAAAAGGAAACCACAAGAGCGCTAGCTTCCCTATAGGAACACTCTACACGTTTTCCGTGGGACTGCGCATCGTCCTTTGGCGTGTATGCCTGGTGCTGTCAGCCCGAACTAGGGCAGCCCAGTCTCATTTGCGGATTCCATTGCATGGCATATGCAGATGAAAGAGCTGACTGGTTCCGAATTTCTACCCATCTCCGCGTAGAGAACCTGCAAGAAAATCGACTTTTGTGGATAAATGATAGCATGAATTTATCAGGGGATCTACTGCTTCCAGAAAACTTGCCTCCTTAGAAATGATTCGGGATTCACGAAAATACACAGCATCGGGACTGAATGGAGTGGGCCATTATTATGAAAAGGATGCAGTCATGCAATTTTGAACGGAAATATGGTACATCAATAGAGATTCCCTTTTCGTTATGATTGCAAACGTCTTCTGGAATGCAAGTGTGATGCATCACTCGTCGATGAATACGAGGGGCACTTTAGAGTCGAGTTTATCTCAAGGAAACACAATAGGAGGGGGGCTAGGATTCGTGCCTCACCTGGATTTTGCGTGCTTTCAAGCACGTTCATGGCAAAGCCGGTGGTCCTCGTCGTTTCGTTGGAAGAGCTGGCATTCTTTCACTCTGTTGTTTCTTCTCAAGAAGAACCTCGCAGACCCAATTCCGGGCTTCACGAATGACAGGCACGAAGTGGCTTCTTTTTGGGTACCGAGAGAAGCTTGGTGCTACTACGTGCTACGTATTATTTTTCTGGGGGTTCCAGGAATTGAAATTTTGTACTTTTCTGGGAGTTCCAGGAATGTAACATTTTTAGCATGAAGCAGCATTAAATAAATTTACATATTCCTGGGCTGGCAAATCCTGGGCTGGCGAATTTCGACGCTAACACGAATTTAAATGGATTTAAATTTCAAACTCGCCTATTTCACCTGGGTTTGACGTGATGAACGAATGCGAGAATGAAGGGTTCTTCGGGAGCCCAGACATATTCAGGCTCGAAACTACTCGAAAGACCAGAGGAATACATGGGGTGAAAGGATGGGGAAGGCGGGCATCATTACTGAGAAACCATTTCCCTGATAAATGCACCAGGAAATTGAAATTTTCGGTTTTTTTTTTTCAAGGACATTTTAACGCCTTGGAAACTATGTGAAAACCAGATTCGGAAGTTATTTTGAAATGACCATTCTGCAGCAAGATAGGAATGCTTCGTTTAGGAAAAGGACAATGGTGGTCCACTTCACACACGGAAATGGATCTTAAACGCCAATAATTTGGAATTCTCAGACTAAGCAGCGGAATCGCCCCATTCCGGGAACAATCCGCGTTTCCTTCGTCGGCGGTGAGGTTTTCCAGACGTTAATGCGTAAAAACTTTCCAGCATAACGTCGGATGATGTGAGACGAGTGATATTGCGCGGGTGAAGCATGAAAAATTCCGTTATGCAAACCGGAGTTTCCCTTTCTTACTATTTGCAGATACTCTGACAAGATTTGGCCCTTGAAGGTATGAATGCGTAAAGGCTTCCTTTCGCTCCTTAAATAAACAAATTCGATATGCAGATGGATTAAAGTCATATTTGAGAAACTGCATTTTTCACAATCATAGCTCCTCTCTTCGTTCCTCTTTCATTATCTGCCTCATCCCTGAAATGTTTCCGAATGGGAGCAAGAAATTTCTGAAAAACGGTTGCAGTGTAGATAGGAAATGCTATCTAGTCTAAGTTTTAGATTTAGATTCAGTCTCGATGAGAGTCTTGCTGAGAGTCTTGCTGAGACGAGGAATAGTCCTCGAATCTCGAATCTCGAATCTACTGATCCTTTCTTTGTCTAGACTACAGGGTGAGTCAAAAGTCCTGCCCGCCTTTTGAACGTTAATAACATCTGAAAGCTAGATCTCATCGAAATGCAGTTTTCACCATTCGAAAGACAAGACAATTCAGTATCAAATGAAGGATCGTTGCATTATTTTTTCGATGGTATCCTTTAGACACGAACGTTCCTATTCTGGGCGGTCATATCAATGTATTATCATCCGAAAACATACATGCAGCACTGTGTCTGCTTTTCCGTTCGACTGTCAGGGGGCGTCCAGATTTGGGGAAGGTCTGCTACGATGCCTGCCCTGTCGGCATTTGTGTTGATGTTGGCGATCAACTTGCGACTGACGGTTTCTCCAATGAATTTCTTGCTGAATTGTCGAGCGGAATCTGTCGAATTCAGAATAATGCCTAACTTTTGCAAACTTGCTTATTAATGGTCAATAGTTTATCAGCAATTTTCCTGAATTCTCCACGCATCGGAATTGTTTACAGCAGGCCACAATAACTCTGGCACTCAAACAGACAATTAGACGCGGTGCCGCAAGCGTGTTTTTACATGCCAATGCCTTTGTATAGAATACCCAGAATAGGAATTTCATTTCTGAAGGATACTATCTGCAAAATAATGCACAAATCCTTCCTTCGAGACAGAATTGTCTCTTCTTTCGAACTGTGAAAACCGCATTTAAATCAGATCTAGCGTTGAGAAGTTATTCACGTACAAAAGGTGGGGCATGACTTTGACTCACCCTGTAGATACATGACTAATCTACAGACTAGACGAACGTCTTATCTTTAAATGTTTTTCTCTCACTTTCAGTTTTGGTTTCTCCCCCCCCCCCCCTCCCACCCTTCCTGTCTGTTCGCTGTTTACTTCTTATATAGCCCAGTAGAGGCAAAGGCTCCCGAATCAGCCACTCTTGACAACTTTCACTCCGGTTCGCGTGCTCGCTAAAGGCTGACGTCGGACTAACATCCATCCGCAGGTTCGCTTGAACGACCCAACTCGACTTTCGTCCCAACTCAGTTCAGGCGGCCGTCCATTTTAATGCGTTTTCCTTTCTAATGTCTTTCATTTTGAAGGAATGCTTTCGAATGCAAATTGCTAATGTGTGTTAATGTGTGCTAATGAGTGTTACGTTTATTTTCGGAGATCTTGACGCGGGCGGAAACCAGCTGGTGATTTTTTTCATCCATCAGGATGCGTTCGCGATCTTTTTTAGGGAAGAGGACCTCAGAGATCTCCAAAAATAAACGAAGCCCTCCCCATTAGCAACATCGCCTACAAAGTCGAGAGACGCGAGGAAGATTCCAAGAAGAGAAGTACTCAGAGGCTTGCGGCTTTGGCCCATCCAAAGGATGAGACTTCCGCGTCTTACCCTTGTACATTCCCACGGCGCACCCTGCAACATTCGGGAGTGCCTGCAAGTGGATGCTAATCTCATTTCAGCCCACGGCTGCGGCTTACTTTATGTCTCTCAGTTCATTCTTTGAAAGCCTTGCAAAAGGAGAAAAAAAAAAGAGAGTGGCCACTGCTGAAACGAGTTCAGGTCTTCGACTCCGCCACTCTACTTCTCACGTGTTATTCTTCAATTTTGAGGCATGTTCGACCAAGACTATTCCAGGTTTCATTGC